GTGGTACGCTGATTTGGGCAACTCATTTGACCTTAAGGGGGCGCTAGAGCCATAGAGGAGCTGGGCTGGGTTGATTAATTGTAAGGTTATTAGTTTGACTTGGTATATACACCTAAACGTTAAATAGATATATGTTTTCAAGTATGCCGGGAACGGGTAAACAATTACCCCTGGTTTTGAATTCTTTCATTAGATTAAAGTGTTCATTTCGATAAGCACGTTGGAAATGATTTCCTGCATTAAGATGTACAGGTGTTCATTTCCGATAACACGTAAGACAATAGACTGTTTTTTTTTTTTTTTGGGGGGGGGGGACCTGACATTCTCGCGAAGAGATAGACTCCTCCCATTTTTGTCGGTGACTAGTTCAAATCACTCTTATCTATTATGCTTTGTCATTGGTTATAATTAATTAAATGTATAACTCCTCTCCTAATTGGTCGGATGACCTAAGGGTAATTTTATATATCCAATCTTGCAATTGGTTGTCTTCGTAAGGGTCCTCCTCGTTGGCTGGGAATATCATGTATCTAATTTGCCTCGTCAGGTGCCGGAGTATTTAAATGCCATATGTGCGGGATTTTGAGGTCAGTTTATGGATTGATGGATTCCCGCCAAACTTGGGTCATGTATGTATCTTGCAGAGCCAATGAACTGATTAGATTTTGGGGTCGCGAGATCCAAGGTCCAAGGTCACAGGACTCATTATGTATGCAAAAATAGCTCGTGATTGATCGCGTTATCTCAAGAACCCATTGATGGATTCCCGCCAAACTTGGGTCATGTATGTATCTTGCAGAGCCAATGAACTGATTAGATTTTGGGGTCGCGAGATCCAAGGTCAAAGGTCACAGGACTCATTATGTATGCAAAAATAGCTCATGATTGATCGCGTTATCTCAAGAACCCATTGATGGATTCCCGCCAAACTTGGGTCATGTATGTATCTTGCAGAGCCAATAACTGATTAGATTTTAGGGTCACGAGATACAAGGTCAAAGGTCACAGGACTCATTATGTATGCAAAAATAGCTCATGATCGTATTATCAAGAACCCATTAATTGATGGATTCCCGCCAAACTTGGGTCAACATGTATTTATCTTGCAGAGCCAATTGAACTGATTATATTTTGGGGTAAGGAGGTCAAAGGTCACAGGGCTCATATGTATGCAAAAATAGCTCGCTTCTGTTTTGGTTTGTAAAATTGCTCCATGGCGGAGGCATATCATTTTTGACTGCGCGCGGTCGAAGGTCCATCTAGTTTGATCAAATGTTGATTTGTTCAATTGAAAGTTGAAATTGCGACTATATATGCCAAGGCCCTTTGTCAGCTTTGCATGTAAAGTCTATGAGAAATATTGTGGTCTATTACCAATTGCCAATTGGTTCCAATGGGGACCAATTGCCAATTGGTTTCAATGGGTACCCATTGTTTTACTTTCCATGTACTCCAAATTGCCAATTGGTATTGAATTGGGATTCAATAGGTGCATTCAATGGGGATTCAATTGGTAAATCGATCCAGTTAGAAGAACCAGTGATAAATTACTGATACTTCATAATCGATATTGGCAACTGTCCACCAATTAGGTATATTCCAATCTCATTTGCATTAACTTCATCACATAGATCATTTGAAGTGAATTCAAGAGTTTCATTTACAGTGAAACAGGCTCGTACGCATATATATATACTAAATATGCATGTTGTTTCTTGGTTAGTAATCATATAATCAATATATATATATTGCTAAAACATGAATGTGATTGTAACATGATCAGACAAAATAATCTATTGGTTAATAATTGCCGAAGGAAAATAGAAATCACAAAATGTATGTGCATTGTCATAATTTGCTTAACAAATCATGATAAATTTATGTTTCTGTGACACGTGTAAAGTGATAATGAATATTCATGAGATGCCTAGATTTGTTGGTTTCTATTGGTTTCTGTTGGTTTCTGTTGGTCCTATTGGTCCTATTGTTTTTTATTGGTCTTATTGGTCCTAATGGTTTCTATTGGTCCAATTGGTTTCTATTTAGCATTGGTCCTATTGGTTTTTATTGATTTCAATTGGCCCTATCAGACTTTAATGGAATTGCAATTGGTTTCAATGGGACCAATTGAAGTCCAAATTAAGGCCAATTGGTCCAATTGAAACCAATTGGGGACCCATTAAAGTCTAATGGGGCCTAGGCCAATGGGTCCAATTTGTCCAATGGGGCCAATCTGGACCAATTGAAACCAATTGGGGACCCATTAAAGGTGAAATTCAAAGAAAATCATAAATATGTCAACTAATTATGTATCACTAGAAACTGGTAAGCTAACAGATGGCCATCGTACAAGGTTTAGGTCAACTACATATCGGGTGATTTATAAAAATACAAATAAAACCACCTCCATAGCAGCGGGGATATACGAGAGATTCGCCGGAAAAAATAACGATGTTTTAATGACGTCACTATATGGACCAATACTGCCCAAGCAGACGACATCCCATAGAGAGTGCACATAATTGCAAAGCTATTGTTTCTCACATTATAATGAGTTTAGTGTATTTAGATATGATGGCATGTCAAACCATTCAAAAGGGGATATGACCCGAGTCTTATAACTAAAATATTTTGCTTGTAAATACACAGAATAGGAGTTAATTAACAATCAAAGAAACCAGACTTTCAAATTGAAAACCCCCCAGAATGATATAAGGCCGGCCACCTGAAACGCAGAACATACCGCGGTGTGTGCACCTGAAAATACAATGGCGGCTTATTTTGTTTACAAGCGACAGATTCCTTTATTTTTGTATCGCTGCATTTGTCATCAAAATAAAACCATGCGCGGGGTTTAGAGTGAGGCAATAGATTATACATTTAGCCTGACGGTAGTGAAGTAAGAGAAAGAACTCAAGAAAAGATGAAAATACAGGCACTGAAAATGTGCGAGATGTCATGCATGATGGGACATCGTCTGCTTGTGCAAATCGTGTCCATACTGTGATCTCACACATCTCAGCAGCGCTCGGAGAGCTCTTCAGGTGCTATGCCGGGGCTTTATTTTAGCGTTTTGTAATTTATGATAATCATTACTTCGAATGTTACCAAGCATTGAATTTTGATAACCTTGTCGAATAAAAGTTTCAACTTTGCAATAATGAAAATAAAGTTAGTTTTTAGAATCAATGAATATCTACTTTAAAGTCTAATGGGGCCTAGGCCAATGGGGCCAATGGGGCCAATCTGGACCAATTGAAACCATCTGAAGTCCTTAAAGTCCCATTGAAACCTGTTAAAACCTATTGAGACCAATTGGAACCAATTAAAACCAATCGAAACCAATTGAAATTTCAATGGGTGTTCAATTGGTTTCAATTGGATTTTCGTCTTGGGCATGCATTTATCTTTTATTCAAAACAACAACCCAGGTGATGTAAATGGGTACTGGGCAGGAATTAATTACTTGAAATGCCAGAGTGCCGTAATGGCAGGCATGCTATTAAAAGCCGGGGTAATATTCGGGAGCAAATGAGGAGTGTCAAGTCTGACAGAACTTATACCGATATTATTATTATTATTAACAAAACAATTTAATAATAATAATAATCTTTTAAAGTCCACTCCAAATTTTATTAAGTTAAACCGAAAATGGAAATTCGTTTTGCCCAATTGATCGTGATTTGTGCACCATACCATCATTCCACACTCATCTCCACTTATTTGCAGAGTCTTTATGTCTTATGCCTAATTGTTTTAATTTCTTTCAAAATTCAGAAGTAGTTTGCATTCTTAACACATATTGGGAGTTTTTAATCTCAATTTTTCTTTCAATTTGGGATGGTCGGGGACTGGGGGTGGGGGACTTCTAAAACCCATCCAGGATGCTCTGTTTTTATTTCTTGCAAACACTTATGATATTCAAGCACTTGTAGGCCTACACTTAGGCAATTCTGGTGACTCACTCCAAGATTTCCTCCACACTTTACCCCCCTCCCCCCCCCCGAATACATGTATATGCTGCGTTCATCTATCTTTTTCTTCAAAATTAAGAACTACTTTGCATTATATCTCAGACTATATAATGTGGAAAATTTTCCCAATCTACATGTAGTACATTTATATGATAATTTATCTCAAAAGGGAAAATAGTGTGCATCGATCATAACTCGTTTGGAAGAAATAAAATCACGCACACCCGTTCCCATATAGTTCATTGTATGATTATAAATACACGAAATACACGAAAATATTTCCTTTAAATATTATTTACAGAATACAATTTTCGTCAAAACAGTCAGGTGGCTTCTGAGCTGAATCTATTCAAACACGACTATCAAAAGGAGAATAGAAGACAAACGCTGAGTAAAAACACTGTTGTTACTCACGGTCTACTAGTTTATGTTTTACAAAATAACAGCAGACCTCATCAGCGTTTATTCATACAGACATAACAATAGCAAATAGATATATGATACATAACAATGATATTCGCTGCAATAAATCAAATTATTATTAGTTTGTATAGTTTAAAGAAGAAATAATAAAAATTCCATAAACATTAAAAACTTGCAAAAAGACTATCTTCTCGCGGCCGATCAAAATGCAAAACAAACGCGTTTTTCTTCGGTCTCAAGAGATTGATACTTCACCAACCAATCAGCACGGCGTAAGCATGATGGTGGGCGGTCCATAGTTTTATTGCTCTCCGTTGAAATTTCAACGGAGCATTAAACCGAGGTTTTTGACTGTACGCGGTCCTCAGGCTGGGCTGGTGAGCATAATTATGAGTTTGTTGATAACGCCATCTTCGACTGCTTGAATCATGTGTAGGGAAATTATAAAGGACCGTGCGATTCTGGACTAGCTACTAATCGGTCGCTCGCCGCTCTGATTTGTGACCATAGCTTATTAAGCCGCCTTTTGAGCCTCTGGTCAAGGCTTCTCTTAATTGTCTTGCGATCAATTCAAGACTCTTTTCTTGATTGCCATTGCTTTAGGGCAGAGGAGGGGCACCCTTCAGGCCCTCTGTGTTTCGCCAGGCCACAACCGCTGGGAGAGGAGGGAAGTGAGGCTTATTTCTAAGCCGTCATTCATCGCTAAGAATCAGACTCCTTTGTCCGGTCCGTTAGAGATCTTCCTTGTCCTTTGACCGGTTTCTCCTCTATCGAGGAGGACAAGATACTGGTGCCCTGTTAGAGCTCTTAAGTGGTATCTTGATAGGACTAAAGGTTTCCGGAAAGATGATCAGCTGTTTCTTATCATGCGGGAGCCCTTCTCACTCACCTCGAAGGAATCTATCTCTAGATGGATTGTTGAGGTGGTTCAATCGGCGGGCCCCGAGGCTCTCTCGGAGGGTGTGCGTCCTTGCAGGTGCATGACACCAGGGGTGTCAGCACCTCCTGGGCTCTTTTCCATAGGGAGCCGCTTCATGACATCATGAAGGCGGCCTTTTGGCTTTCTCCTAACACTTTAATTTCGTGTTATCTTAAGGATATTCCTGCGAGTGAGGAGTGTTTCGCAACAGCGACTTTGAGGGCAGCATGCATGCATCTAGCTTCTTGCCTGGCCCCTCGCTAAGCTTTTTGGTTTGGGACATGCCCCCCACATCTGACTTGGTCTAAGCAATACTTTGATTTGTGGCAAATAAGTTAGATCAGAACTGATTTTATTATTTACTATATAAATCTACCTATATACCTATGTCCCTCCCTCGATCCGTCCCCTCTCCTTGTTGGCAACATGTCCCAAGTTGTGTCTTTTGGACTGCTCGTTAGAGAGGAAGTATATGTGTGCGCGCGTGGTGCGTACGGGTTAAGCGGTGGTTTCGGGGTTGGGGTATGCATGGGTTTTCTTCAGTGGTATGGAAAGCCGTTGGCGACTTTATTCACGTGCCCCAGACGTATGGAACGCGGCACACGTCTGCTAAATTGACCAATCACCGCCTGTTATTTAGCAGGCGCGTGCAAGGTGCGATAGCTCACGCCTGTTACTTTGCCAGACGGATGCGCAGAACGCTCGTAAATTGAATTTTAAGGCAACCAATCAAGTCCGCTGTTACAAAGCTGCTCAGCTCAGTACGTACGGGGCCTGTTCGCTATTACAAAACTGCTCAGGTCAGTACATATTGGATGGATCATGGGGGACACACCCACGGCCAGGCACGGATCCAGGGGGAGGGCCGAAGGGGTCTCCCCCTCCCCCGCCAAAAAAGAGAGAGAGCTAGAGAGAGAAGGAACAGAAGGGAAGGGGAAAGAGGAGAGAAAGGAAAGAAAGAAGAGGAAAGAAAAGAGGGGGAAAAGAGATCAGCGGGGGGGGGGGGGGGCGACTGAGGGCCTTGACTCCGAGGCTGTTGCCCCCTCCCCCTCCCCCCTCCCCCCTCCCCCCCCAAAAAAGAGAGAAGGAAGGATTGGGAAATTAAAAAAGGAGAAGAGGAGTCAAAGCGAAGGGGGGGGGGGGGGAATTAGGAATAAGAAAAGTAATGAAGGAGGATATCAGTTACGATTTTCTCGCCAACAATTTGTTGATCCTCTGGGAGGGGGGACAAAAAAAAGAGAGTAGGAAGGGAAAAGGAAAGAGGAGAGCCAAAGGGAACAAAAAGGGAAAGAAGAAAAGAAACAGGTGAAAAGAAAGGGAGGGGGGTCAGATGCAATTAATCCAGCCAACAACATGTGGTTCGGGTAGGGGGTGAAAGGCCTTTGCCTTCCCCCAGCAAACTTTAAAAAGAGAGAAGGAAGGGAAGGGGAAGGGAAAGAGATGAGAAAGAGGAAGAAGAAAGGTAGGGGAGATCAGTTGCGATTTTTCCCGCCATCAAGGTGTGGATCGGGGGCGAAAGGCCCTTGTCTCCCCCTCCCCCCTCAGTAAGAGAGAGAGAGAGAGAGAAAGAAGGGAGGGAGGGAATGGGAAAGAGGAGAGAAATGGAAAGAAAATAAAGAGTAAGAGGAAAAGATATGGTTTCGCGCTCCTCTCGCCTCCCCCAAACGAGACCAAGCGCCAGATACGCCACTAGACACCACTGGCGTACTAATTCGAAGGGGGGGGGGGGGGGAGACTCCCCCTTAAGTGGTTCATTTCTAATTCGATTTCAGTGATTTACAAATGTTGTAAAATGACATAATTTTTATTAAATTATACTCTTTTATGAGCTTGTTGGAAAATGACGAATTCCAAAAGTTACAGTCAGGCGAGAAATATGCTTATTTTGAGGTCTGCACGTCAAGGCTCGCAGAACACAAATTGGTGTGGAATCTAGGGGCGGAGCCCCCGGAAGCTCAGAGGCAATGGGCATTCATTACGTTCAGATGATCATATTCTGATACCTATTTTTGATACCTTAATGACACGGGTACAGGGGCGGCCGAGCGACTTCCAAAGTGGGGGGCACCAACAAAAAAGGGCACTTTCTGGAAAAGACTTTTGATAAGTAACATAATTATATCATCTTTACATGCGAGCGAGCGCAGCGAGTGAACTTTGGGGGAAAATTGCTCTCAGTCGCTTTAAATAAGGGGCACGTTTAATGATTACATGAAATGGGGGCAATTATCGAAAGGGATAAGACACTTATTAGAAAAGAAAAGGAGCACGTGTCAAAGTAAAAAAGATAATTATATTAAAGAGATGAAAAAGAAAATGGGAAATAGGCATTTGTATGATTTGTTGATGGGCACCCATCAGATTTTGATAAGGGCATTTATAAGAGGTGAAAAGGGGATAGGTCCCTTATTATAAAGGAAAAGAGGCACGTATCATTATTAAAAGGGCAATTATCAGAGGTGAAAAGGGACACTGACCAGATATGAAAAGGGGCACTTATGAAAATGTAAAAGGGGCACTTATAATAAAGGAAAATGTGTATTTGTTGAATAAGAAGGGGGCACCGTTCATATTTTTAAAAGGGGCAGTTATGAGAAGGGGAGGGAGCTCTTTCTTTTTAATGGGGGCACTTATCATAAGGAAAAGGGGCACTTATTAGAAAGGGAAAGGGGTAGTTATGAGAAGGGAATGAGCTCTCTCTTTTTAATGGGGGCACTTATAAGGAAAAGGGGCACTTATTAGAAAATAAAAGGGGCACATGTTAAAATGAAAGGTGTGCTCATCGGAGTTTAAAAAGCGGTAGTTAATTATAAGGAGAATAGAGGCACTTCTTACAAAGGAAAAAAGGGGCAGTTGTCAAAGTAAAAGGAGCACCTCTCAGTTTTGAACAGGGCAATTATCAGAGGTGAGGGGGAACCTATCAAAAGTGAAAAGGGGCACTTCTCGTACCTGAAAAAAGGCACTTACTAGAGATTAAAAATGGCACTTATTCAAGATAATTTCAAGATTTATGAGAATGGAAAATGGACACTTATTGCAAAGGAAAATGGGAACATATCGAAGGAAAAGGGGCACGTGTCAAAAATAAAAAGGGCACTCGTCAGAGGTGAAAAGGGGGGAAGGGGCACGTTTGCTAAGTAATAGGGGCACTTGTCAAAGTAAAAGGGGCACTTTTCCTATGTAAAAGGGGCACTTCTTACAAAATAAAAGGGGCACTTTTCCTATGTAATAAGGGGCACTTTGGGGTATCTGAAAAGTGGGGGGGGGCACTGTGCCCCCCTGCCCCCCCCCCCGGAGGGCCGCCTCTGCACGGGTAGGTCACTTATTGGCGTGGGGTCCAGGGGCTGAGCCCTAGGAAACTCAGGGGCTATCGGGGCATTCATTACGCCTTAGGGCCCTTGGTGGGGTCAAGAGGGTGAAGCCTCGGAAATTTCATTTAATTACGGTCAGTTGATCATATTTTGAGACTTCATTATTTTGTGACACTGGCAGGTCACAATTTATTTTTCTTACTTTCTCCCTACTTCTCTTGAATAAACTTTTTCAAAATAGTGGGGGACCCATGCCCCCGAGCCCCGCTGTGCCGCGAGCCTTGACATGTAGACCTATAAATAAGCATACTTCTCGCCTGACTGTCTCGAGCCTCGAGCCCCCCCCCCCCACACACACACACTTAACAAAAAAGTATATTAAAGAGAAATAGAAGAAAGAGAGCAAGAGAGAAAGAATGAATTTAGACGAGGATTAAGAGACGAGAACGGTACAACGAATCGTCTTCTTTCTCTAATAATTTATTGAAACGTCAAAGCTTCCGCGCTTCGTGGAGGAGGGAGGGGGAAAACGTACATTTCTGAACAAATAAAGAAAAAAGGCGTGTCCCAATAATGTACGCGACCCATCATCCTGCCCCCCCCCCCCAAAAAAAAAAAAAAAAAATTATTACGACCACGCTGCGCCATTCGGTCCACCCTCCCCGCAGTATTCCCTTGGTACGAGTAAACAGCGGGGGCTAGGGTACGTCGCCGCCCCCAGAAATAAAAAACAAACAAAGAAAATGCAAGAAATTATCAATAATTCATTGCATTTGGCCCCGACCCCTAACATAACAAAATTCTCTATGTGGGCATGCCTTGAACCATAATGCATGGTCCTACAGAGTTCCTATTGAACTAACATCTACATTATTATAAGAACAGTTTCATTATCAAATTGAATAAACACTTACATACAGATAATGTTATATATGTTTTGTTCTTATACACATCATATTCATACCTAATATGGCGATCAGGGGCGTCGCTATACCTTTTTCAGTTGGGGGGGGGGTGTAGAGGCCAACGATTAACGACAAAACTAGCCACCAATTACCGACAAAATTAAATTTCCAATATCTACAAATTTAGCCCTATAAACCCGGGGCCGAAGGCTAAATTGTTTTTCCTATGGACTATCTATAGTACTTGCGTATGCGCAAATGGTCATTTTCCACGACGACACAAATATACGAATTATTTCGTCAACTTAGTCAGCATTCATAGCTATATATTTTAATGCAGACACGGAGCTAGGATCTTATTTTAGGGAGGGACGGTAGTGAGCAAGCGATCCCTTAAAGGGCGCGGGGTGTGGGTGAAAGGCCTCCCGCGCAAAGCGCGGAAGCTTAGATGTTTCCTTAAATTATTAGGAAAGGAAGACGATTTATTGTACCGTTCTCGACTGTTAATCCTTGTCTGAATTCAGTTTCTCCCCCTCCCGCGCTTTACTTTGGCTTTTCATTAAATTATTAGAGAAAGTAGACGATTCGTTGAACCGTGCTCGACTCTTTATCCTTGTCTG